TTGGGAAGCTTGGGAAGATGTTGGCTCAGCCTAGGAGGTATTGGCTGTCTTTTGATGGATACCTCTTCCCAAGGCCCTCAGCAAAGCTCAGCAGTGGCCAGTGTTCCTATGACCACATCAGGTCAAAGATTCCTGCTCACCCTTCACCTGACAGACAGGCTCCTTTGCAGTCGCAGCTCTGCTCCATGCTCTTCTGTCCCCCCTACCCCTGATGGCCACATCTCATACACTCTGTTGGGTACTTTCCAGATGCCCTCACCCCAGACCCACCTTGCACTCTTCTTTGCCCAGCTCTGAGAGCCAGGAGTCAGACTACTAGAGGTGCATCACCCAGTCCCCCTGGCCCTGCCCTCTGGCTTCCCTTTGGGCTTGGCAGATGGGGAGCCCCACAGGAGATCTGAGGAGGGAGGAGAGAGAGATGGAGGTATCAATCCCCACCCTATCAACTTCTGCCCTCCCTGTGGGTCATCTCAGGTTGGCTGCATGTTTTCGAAGTCCCAGATCCTCAAGGTAGCCATGTCTACATAATTCTCTCTTTCTGCATTCAGGTAACTGCTCCTCTCTTCATCTTTTTAAGTATGTGGGTGGTATAGCCCTGGAGCCCTGCACTGTCTCTTGTGGTTTTCTGGTATCTTGCCTATAGCTTTGTCAATAGACTGTTTATGAAATCCTTCCTGAATTCTTGTAATTTCAGTATTCCTGCTGGAATTCAGACTGATAGATACATGATGTCATTTTATATACCTGTACCTTTTCCCATGTTGTTTCCCTTACCAAGAATTCCCTTCTTTATCTTGACTACCTGTTGAATTATTCCATGCCTTTCAAAATTTCACTGAAATGTACTTCTGTGAAGATTGGTCTTCCTTGGCCTTCTGTCTGTCTTTGTGATGTCCATCTTGTTCGTATACCCTCCATTCCCATCCTAACCCTCGTTAATCAGACACGTCCAAACTTTCCCTCATCAAAACTTTACAATGTTTAATTCCTTCCAAGTCTAATTAAGTGACTGTCTAAAGTATCTGCTTCAATGCTCGGTGCAAAGTAGATGCTTAATAAATGATAGCTATCAGACTACTTCATACTAAGGTGTGAATGGCTATGTGGTTTAATGCTTTATCCCTCTCAGGGGCACCTTACATTTATGAAGGACCTTTTAGAGTTAATATTGCCTCCAGTGAGTCTCTAACTTGCATAATGGGGTAGGTTGGGAAGGTGGTGGTCAAAGGGTCTTCTGGGGCTTCTCACATATTATCAAGTCCAAAGCCTCTCTGTCTGTAGGTTTGAGAAAACAGAATCACTTCAGGTCAGTCCTCAGCATACAGAGGCTTCTTGGAAAGGGGAAAGGTTGCTCAATAGTGGTCTGGGGGAGCAGCATCTGTGGAAAAAGACAAATGTGACCGGACACATCTCTGCTCGGCTAATATACCCTTCCAGTGCTATTGGAATGTGATTTTTAAAATTATGACTGGCTGACTTTCTTCTCTTGTGGTTGAGTTTGTAGTAACATAGACTATGACTCTAGTTTTGCCAAAGTGGAAAAAACAATGCCATCCAGTGAATTTTTATGGTAGTTCTTAAACATTTAAAAGAATGTTATTAAAGATGCAGCTCAATAAGTCTTTAATATCCTGCTTTGGGGCTGATGAACCAAGGCTCAGACTTACAGGCTGGGTGGGGGCAGCTGAGGGATGCTATGCCTGGGAGGTGCCAACACCGGTTAAGTTGTTCTGTGCAATTTTGCCTAAACACGGAGCTACCTACATGAGTACAAAACCATGAATTTTGGTCATTCATGGCTTGAGGCAGAGATCAAAGCAATGTGTCTCACTCCTAATGAAGTTCAAGAAGCCAGGGAGTCTGCTGGGTTCCAAAAGCTCCGAATACATCCTTCCTGTACTCCAGAGAGTCACAGCTCACGTCTTAGGTGGTAGAGAGGCAGGCCTGAGCCCTGTTTGCGAGCTGGCTTCCTCCTTGCTCCATGGAGAGGCACCAATCTGACATAATATTATAATTTGGATATTTGGGGACATCTTTTATAACAGGGTTCCGCAGATATTCACGTGGCTGGCAAACTGGCAGGATTCTTGGGAAGAACCAAAAGTGGTGTTCACTGAGTTAAGGATGCTAAGTGTCCTGGAGTGGTTAGGACAGAAGGTTTATTGGGGGGCAGGTGTGTGTGTGGTGGTGATAACCTCAGGTGAGCAAAATAGAAGGTCTCAGGCCTCTGCATTTGCTGCTCCCTCACCTCCCCCACCCAGCTCTCCTTTCGGTGTCCTGGTTCCCTCTTTTTGGGAAGCTGTCATGTAGCCACCATGAGGCACCAAAACCTGGGCAGGGAGGCTTGTGAACTGGGCTGGTCATTAATCGCAGCTTAAGTTGGCCTCCTTTCTGCTGCCTGCACCAGGTCGCCAGTCCCCATGTGGTCATGGTCTCTACCACCCAGAATGGCTTCTGTTGCTCTCCAGTGGCACCTCCATACTTTGTAGATGCTCAGTAAATGTTTGTCAATGGAATGATTCTGAACTTCATCTGATATGCTCTTAGTTGTCCTAAAATGCAGTTCATTAAACCTCAATGTTTATTTTCTTGGATTGGACCCAGTCTTGAGGTCTTTTCCATTGGTTAGAGGTAAGTGACATGCTTGCCTTGTGTCTCTGGATTCAGGGTGGCATTACTGTAATTCTAGCCTTATGACTTGTGTCTGTCTGACTCTGGACCTTTGCTCCACATTGCAGTGTGAAACAGGGCAAGTTCTCTGAGTGAAACAGTGGTTGAAATCCCCCATTTCAAAACTGCACATAAATATATTCAAGACATTTAAAAAACTTCCAGTCAAAACATTTTGGGAAGAAGAGCCAGATTTTGTAAAGAAAAATAGGGCAGTTTAATGGGCAAAGATATTCTGAGTAATTCTGTGCTTGAGTGACTATCCAAGAGGCTGTTTCCTAGCATTTTCAGGAATCACGGTCTCCAAGACGCTGACTTGTAGTCAGAGTATCTTCAGTGGGTCACGTGGAGGGGCCCTGGTCCTTGCACTGAATGGTGGGACCTGATCAGAAAACAGTTGTCAGTCTTTTGACCCCCCATGGTCCCATCGCCCCCTGCAGGTTTCTACCTCTGGAAGGAGACAGGGAAATATGATTTGCCTTAGAAACTGGTGGTGGAGATAGACTGACAGAATATGCATAGCTTTAGTCTTTCTTTCCCCCACACCTGGGGGCTAGACTGCTTTTCTGGAGTGCAATGACAGAGCATCAGAGAGGTGTTTGCCCACCTGGAAGTTGTGGGCCCGAACGCCTGGGAGGAAGTCTGCGCATGCGCACATGCAGTTCCGCTGGTATTCTCCCCGCCGCACCTGAGCACAGCTGCCCAGGTTTCTGACGGACGCCCTGCTCTCTCTGCAGACCCATGGCAGAGATGGTGGAGATGCTGCTCCTAATTTTAATATTTATAGAGCTTTCTGTGACCTGAGATAGGTTGCTCTATACCTTTGTGCATTCGTTTCCCTATTTGTCTGACATAATATAGCACATGCTCTGATGCAGCCACAAGGAGACCCTATTCATAAAATGGGCTTCTTCACAGCTGACCCCAGCGCTCCCATCTCCTCAAAGGTTGCTTCTCACCTCGTCTATTTTATTCGCAGGTTGTTGCCAATTTCTCACCTTTTTAGATACATGTCAGTAATAACTTGTGGAGGATTTTCCTTAATGACACCCTAAAAAAGGGATTTTGGAAGGTCAGAAGCCTTCAGGGTGCAGATGAACAAATCTAATTCTCTGTAGATTTTTTTTCTTGCTTTCAAAAGACAGCCTTTTCTAAAATGCCTTAAATCCCATCATGGTGGTGGAGGAGGCTTTATATAATTGAAACCATTTAGTTTGCTTTTTCCAGCTTAATATGATTATGTAACTATTTTTCTTGTTATTAAAGTTACTTTGTAGGCATAACTTTCCTAATATATTTTTATAAGAAATTTTCAAACAATGCAGAAAAGTTGAAGGAATTTTATAGGGAGCACTACCATTTAGATTTTACATGCCTAACATGTCACTCCATTTGGTTTTATCCTGTATCTCTCCATCCGGCCCTTCCTCTCTATATTCATCCGTCTATTATTGGGAGTGCATTTCAGAGAAAGTTGCAGGCATCATTACACAGTATACTCAGCACGTGTATTGTTAACTATTTGCTTACAGTTTTTTGAACATAACAATAAAACACACACATCTTAAGTGTACTGTTTGTAGACATTAATATTTCAAACTCATTTCATTTTAGTTGTAGTCCCATACTTCCTTATTTAACAGTTTAACAATTTAATAAGTGACAATGGCCAAGTGATTGCTCCGTACTCCCTATTTGGAAGCTGGAGGCTGAGGCTCCTTTATTCTTCAGTGAGGAGAAGCTGTTGCCCTACCCTGATTCCCATGCAGTTTGATTTCTCAACATTCAGGAATTGGATACAGGCCCCTCTTCTGTACTCCTAATCCTCCAACCCTTGGTCAAGGAGGCCCAGAGCCACTTCCTGGGCCCCTCAGCTGCAGTCTGGCCTTGCCCACCAAACCCAGAAATGCTGACTCCCTTACCACAAGCTAGTTATATAATTGTAGACATAACCTGCCATGCTAGCAGTTGTGAGGTACTTCTCAGTTTCTGAACAATTTGCCTTCATATTATTTCATTGAGACCCCTCTGCAACTCAGTGGGGTGACTATTATAACTATTATACCCATATCTCAGGTTTGTATACTGAGGCTCTGAGAGGGAAGATCATGCAGCCTGGGTCTGGATCTAAGCCTGTGAGGCCTCAGATGCTGACGACTTCCTGTAGTCCCAGAGGGATTTCACCTAGGCTGAATTCTCAGGGTGTGGAATAGCAACTATGCATATCATTTTCTGGGAGGTTTGATTTGGACACTGTGCTAAACTGGGCATCTGCAGACTCAGTGACAAAGTTTGCTGTTCATACGACAGGAAGGTGTGTCGTCTGGTGGAAAGAGCACTGGTTTTGGAATCTGACTGGTTTTGGAAGAACTGACCCGGATTCTTCATATCTGAGCTGTGTGACCTCAGTAAGTCACTTATTTTTTTAACAGAGTCACCAATATTTTTGAGGGTTTATTGTATGTCCAGTGGGGCACACAGATGATTTCATTTAACTCCCCCTCCCAACAGCCTACCATTATTTTCAGCCTTGCTTCATAGATGAAGATACTGAGGCACAGAAAGGTGAAGTAACTTGCTCAAGGTCACACAGCTGAGGGACCCCGGTACTGGGCCTGCTCTCCTAACCACAGTGCTGCATCACTGCCCCTGTAACATGGGGGAAACCAGCCCTCTTTATGGGTATATTGGGAACTATGAGGTCAGATGTGTTAAGTTTTATCTCCAGAGAGATGCAAGCTGTGGTTTCTGCCTTCATGGTTCAAACATAGAGGCTATAACTACATGCCTCTGGGCCAAATTTGGTTCACATGGAGTTCACTAGAGTTTTGTTCTTTTAATTTGGATTGTCAACACTTAAAAATAAAGGGCATCTGCATAACATTACATTTCCCAGCTTACCTTTAAAAATCTGACCATCTGGAGAAAGCACACCTATATGGGCAGAAAGCAATTGGCTGCACTGAGGCAAAGTTGATGCCTGCCTCCAAGTTCTCCACAGCCACTACCATTCCCTTTTGTCTTCTTCCTGAGGCTGAGCATCAGCGGCCACTTCCTGCTTGAGTTGTGGTTTTCCTGACACCAGGCCTACTTCACGCTCTATCTGCCTGGCCCTTGTGAGCATGCGGGTTTGTAGACAGAGCAATTCCAAATAGCTCAGTGGGGGTACATTCTTATTATTTTCCAGAAGGGAGCCACAACTCAGGTCATTTGCTATCTATGAGAATCAAAGGTCAGGGTGTTCTCATGAAAGTAAACTCAGGTAGGTACCTGGGAGTATTTGGAACACATCCATTTTCCAGTTTGTCACACCCAGCAGCCTCACACAGCAGGACACTTTGGTGAGTACTCCGGCTGTATCTAGGGTGGTCAGCTTTTGTCTGCCTGACATCTTCAGCACATACCCCACTCTGGCCTGTAGCCTCCTGTGGTTGCCCAGGGCATTCCAGATCTTGCCTCTTGATTATGCACCCGGTTCCCCAGGACTCCCATCTGAAAGTGTAATCATGTTCCCTGGGAGAGGTAACATCAACACTGCATTTCCCCAAATGCAGCAAGCATTTAGATACACAAGCATTTTTTCAAATGTGGATTGTATGTCTGTTCTCATGAATGCTAGGAAAATATAACATGCTCATCAAGTCTTCGATTTTAGGAATATTATCACTTAGGGGGAAGCTAAGTTTTAAAAAGGGTAATTTTATAGTGGGTTTAAAGAGAAATAATAAGTAAATGCTGCTGTAGGTGAAAAGTCACAGCAGAAATACACAGTATTGACTGAAGTGTGGGGAAAACTGCGTAGGGCCTCTGTAATCCTCTTCACCCTCTTTGGGTGAAGTCCAGGGGCTGGAGGCAGGGTTCCCCTCTCCCATCCCCTTGCTTCACCTCCATCTCTCTTCTGTCCCTGGAGTCTGGGGAACCTTGACTTGGATATTGTGGGAAGCTTTGCTATTCCTAATTACAGCTTAATCTATCATGTTGTCTTTGGGAATAGGCCCTTTGCTGGTCTCAAAGGGACTACACTTTTGAAGCTCAGGCAGGAATAGCTTTTTGTGCAGTGTCATCTCTTTCTTGGGGTAGAGAATACAGAACACCCTGGCTGCTGCCTGGATGGGGGAGTCATTACGGGGCAATGGGAAATAAAACAAGACCAACCAAACAAGAGCCTTATTAGTGTGTTTGAAGAAATAGCCCACCATACATGGTTGTAGCAACTATATGCATGGACAGCAGTTATTGGAAACAAAATAGGATTGAATTGAGTCAATTAACTTTGCTGAATCGCTTAATCTCTCTGAATCTCGGTTTCTTCATCTGTACAAGTACATATAATACTTAAATCGAAGGGTTGTTGCAAGGACTAAATGAGATCTTATATGCAGAATGGCGTGTATACGTACTGAATGAATGGTAGCCCAAGTGATGAGGATAGAAGGCCCACAAGGCTGGGTCTTTCCTCACATGTTGATGTTAATTTATGAAGAGAGAAGAGTTGTATCTTGAGGTTTAGTGTTGGAGGTTTTGCTCATGAGAACATCCTGACAGAGAACATAGTCTGTTGGCATATTAACAGTCATGCCCTAGGGCCATCATTTTCCTGTGCTTTTATTTGGTCTGTGGGGACAGGGAACATTCTGTCCTGCTGGTCACAAGGCAAGACTGTAGGAGTGGAGGGCAGCTCTGGGCACTTGGCTGCTTCCTAGGTTGGGTAAAAGCCAATGAGGACTGGCTACAGCCCATTGGGTCATATCCAGTAGGAGCCGCTCTCCCACCTGGCTCCCATGCATAAATGCTGAATGCACTGTTAGAATTTACCAAGTCTCAGCTTAGAGTAGGGTCCAGTGAAGGGAAAGGGGCACATAAACGCATTACCTTGAATGGAGATGGTTCTAATTCTCACCAATCCAGCATTAACTCAGAGGGCAGAAATGGCCTCAAGAAACTGGCGTGGCTTCCCCCAGAGGGGACTCCCCATTGAAAACAGATTACTCTCTTTGGTGGGTTTTGATTTCATTTGAAGTTATTTTCACTTGCTTTTGCAGCAACCACATTTTCTGGTTTCTGTATCTGATGCCCTCCTCAGTCATTCCAAAAGGATCCAGGCTTGCTGACCTCCTGACTTTAGCCAGTGAGACTGTTGTCGGCCTCCTGGCCTCTGGAACTGTAAGAGAATGAATTTCTGTTTCTTTATGTCTCCATGTGTGTGGCAGTTTGTTCCGGGGGCCACAGGAAACTGGTACACATGGTTTTCCTTTATTTAGTCAACACATATGATGCATATGCTCTGTGAGGTGTCAGCCATCCTTTCTCTGTATAGTGCTTATGTAGGGAAGGGTCAGCAAGAGATGCCACATCCCATTGGGCCGTGGACTAGTCGGTGATGGCTGAGGAACATTCGGCTCCCTGCTCCTCAGAGGCTCCAGCTGGCTGTTTGATCAGCAGGGCTGAGTGTGAGCTCAGGAGTCCTCTCCAGGCAAGGGGAAGGCCCAGGGTGTCTGGGCACTATGGGAGGGGGAGACTGTCCTGTGCTCAGAGCACCTTCCCCACCAGGAGACCCAGAGCCCAGCCTGGGCTGGGTGCAGGGAGCTGCTGCCGGCATCTTGACCCAGGTGACCTGAATTACTTTCCAACACAGATTCATTCTACTATGTTCTGGAGGCCAGAAGTCTGAGACAGCCAAGATTTGGGCCTCACAGAGGCCCTTCAGGAGAGTCCATTTCCTTGCCTTTTTCACCTTCTAGAGGCCACCTGCATTCCTTGCCTGGTGATCCCTTGCTCCCTCTTCACAGAGCATGACTCTGCACTCTGCTCCTGTCGTCATGTGGTCCTCCCCTTTGACTCTGACCCCCCTTGTGGCCTCTTATAAGGATCCCTGTGATTATTTTGAGTCTGCTGGATAATGCAGGATAATCTCACCACTTCAAGATCCTTAGCTTCATCACATATGCGGAGCCCCTTTTTCCATGTAAGGTCACATTCACAGGCTCTAGGAATTAGGGCAGGGATATCTTTGAAAGCCATTATTCAGCTTCCACCTGCCCCTCAGAGCAGGAGCTTGCTGACGCCCTTTTAAGCTTCAGTTGAACCCTGACTCACAGCTCTGGCTCTGGGAGGTGGTGGATAATAACAGGGGTCTGAGGCCACCCTATCTCTGTGGACATGTGAACACCCTTGGTTTGAGGACAGTGTGTAGCCACCTTGCCCTGTGCTGGATCATGGAGTCTTTGGTGGCCTTTCCAGAAAAGAACATAGAAATGAAATCGTGAGTTTTTTGTAAAAAGCACTCAGTAATTGCTGTGGGATTCAGGGAGTTGGGTTTCAGTGTACTGTCGGGGCAGACTGTGAAGACACGTGTGACAGGAGGATTGCTGTTCTTCCTTGCAGGGTGCTATAGCTTCTTTCTTTTCCTGAGCGTTTCCTAACTTAGGCAAGGCCAAGCCAGAACGAGTCTAAAGCCTTGAGGTAAGTTCGTGTTGCCCAGCCCCCTGGGGGTCGCTGTCTTGTCTACCACCACAAGAACATGGTGTGCAGCAGCTGGGGTGTGGGTTCCTCTAAAAAAAGATCTCGAGCCATAGCAATTGTGCCACATTTAAAGGCCCCCGGGTTAGTGGAGGTGGGAGGGATCCCTACACACAGCTTTGAGAACATCTGGAGCTCACAGTGAGTGGGGAGAATGAAGGGGGGAGCAGCCATGTGAATGCTGCATCTTTTTAAAGAGTAACAGTATTTGGAAGATGCCTGAGGAGTAGACAGTCTCTCAGCTGCTGTGATTGAGTGTGTTATGTGAAGGGATGAGGTAGGTAGGGAATACCCAGGCAGCCTTTACTTAAGAATTAGCCAGGAAGTTTGGTTGGAAATGATAGAAACATAACTGGTTTAAGAAAAAAAAAATTGGCTCAAATATCTGAGAGTCCACAGACGGAGCCTGCCTTTAGGAATAGCTGGATCTGGAGGCCCTGATGTGTTATCAAAATGGTGTCTCTCCCTCTATCTCTGCCCTGCTGTCTTCCAGTTAGCAAGTGCTACTCTGTGTTTGAATCCCATCAGCTAAGCAGCCTCAAGTGGAATGGGATAATTGTTACCTTCCCTAGTAATTTCAACCAATAGTAGTACTCTCATTGGCTTGCTTTGGACTATGTGACCATCCTTAAACCAATTATCATGTGGCTAGGAGAGTGTGGTGCTCTGATTGGCTGGGGCTAGATGGCTTGTCCCTCCCTGCAACCAAGGCACATGGGTCCAGACCTAACCTAACCACAAGCCTGAAGGTGGAGGAAGGTTGCCCCCCACCGAGGAAAATCAGGTGATGCTGGTGAGGCAGAAATAGCAGAATGTCTATGGCAATTGCAACATCCGAAGGGCATATTAAAAGGCAACAATTAGCTGTTAGATTACTTTCCAGTAGAAGGGATAGAGTGTGTTGCTTTTACAAATCTTTCTAAGAACATGCATCATAATCCTGAGCCCTGATCCTTCTTGTTGTGGGGCAGGGGGAGCATATTCCATTAGACTTCAAGACAACTGGAGTTTATTCTGTGAACCTTGAAAAGTGAAGAACAGAACACTTATTTTGTGAAAAAGAAAGAAATTAAAAAATAGCATTTGGAAATCCTTAAAGTTCAGAGCATTGTCTTTCCCAAGTGATCTCCAGGGGACACAAAATGAACAAAAATGCTTATTGATGTACATAAATTGTACCAAGAAATACCATTCATTAGACAGCTCTCGAGTGAGAGGCCCTGGGAAGGTCCTAATGCTCTCGGACACTCAGCTCTCCTGGTGCTTTTAATAAAGGGAGGCTTGTTCTGGCCAGTTGTTCTGGCCATGGTCCAATGAAGCTTGCTGCATTCTATCTCCCAAATTCCCCTTCAATTTCCTGTGGAATTCTTCCCTTTTTTTTTCTTTTTATCTTTTTTTAAAAATTGTTAAAATTCCTTTTCCAGCCTAAGTCTTCTTCCTGGCTATTTATAAGAGCTCTTTGCCACCCAGAGGTGACTGGTTTTTCAGACAATGTTTTGAGCATTTTGTCTTTTCTGTCCCTCCTTAATTTGAATGTAGAGTGAAATGTGCCACATGTCTAGAGAATGGTGGTAAGCAGTGAGGACCTTTTGCTCTGCAAGTAACAAAAAACCCAACTCAAATTGGCTGAAATGTTATGGGAATTTATTGGCTCAGGGAACTCAAATGTCTAGAGGGAATTGTAAGGCTTAGGCACAGTTTGATCAGGCTTCCACTTTATTTCTCTCACTTCTCTCTGGGAGGGTAGGCATTTTCACCTGCTTTATTCACTGACGTAACCTAGGCTCTTAGCACAGTATTCAGAATAATAAATGGTTTTTGAATGAACAAAATGATCTCAACTCTGCCTTTGTGGGTTGGTTTGGTTTCAGGCAGTATGGATCCTTGAGTGAAAAGGCAATGTCTTCTCTCTCTCTCTCCTTTCTTTTGCTTCCTCTTTCCTTTCTCCTCTCCCCGCCCCATCTCCCAGGAGTCTCCCACTTGCATAACTAACTTAACTGAATCCTCAAAACAGCTCAAGGCCTGTAGCTTTTTACAGAGAAGGAAACTGAGGCCAGAACTAGGAAAGAATATACCTTTGAACAGCCCATTCACTGTCCCGTGAAAGACCGATGGCAGACATTCCTCCTCTAATTCTCAGCCTGTACCTTCCATTTACATTCCAAATGAGCAGCTGCCCCTCAGCCAGCTGGACAAGGAACTGAAATTCATCCTCTAGTCCTGCTATTCTACATATTCTCAAATTGGCAGCACAACCCTTTCTAATCATAACTGCTGTCAGTTTGTAAAATGGGAACACGTGGCATCTTGGCCACTTGATGGGGGAAAGCAGGAAGCCCTGCACCACCCTGGGGAAGAGCACTGGCATCATCCCCCAAGACTGTCTCAGGTCTCTGGGGGCACTGATGGGGCTCTACTGAGTCTAACCGTTCTGAATTTAAATGCTTTTATTCCTCTGGTGCATCCTGAAGCTCACGGTGTCTTTTCTCAAGTGACTGAATGAATGTACCTTGATTGTGTGTTAGGTGAATTTCCAGTTATTTATTTAGAGCATTTATTTTTTTGTCCTCTTATTTAAAAAAATGTCTTATGTCCTTGGGTTGAGCCTTTTGATGGAGGAATTTCAGGCAGTATGGATCCTTGAGTGAAAAGGCAATGTCTTCTCTCTCTCTCTCCTTTCTTTTGCTTCCTCTTTCCTTTCTCCTCTCCCCGCCCCATCTCCCAGGAGTCTCCCACTTGCATAACTAACTTAACTGAATCCTCAAAACAGCTCAAGGCCTGTAGCTTTTTACAGAGAAGGAAACTGAGGCCAGAACTAGGAAAGAATATACCTTTGAACAGCCCATTCACTGTCCCGTGAAAGACCGATGGCAGACATTCCTCCTCTAATTCTCAGCCTGTACCTTCCATTTACATTCCAAATGAGCAGCTGCCCCTCAGCCAGCTGGACAAGGAACTGAAATTCATCCTCTAGTCCTGCTATTCTACATATTCTCAAATTGGCAGCACAACCCTTTCTAATCATAACTGCTGTCAGTTTGTAAAATGGGAACACGTGGCATCTTGGCCACTTGATGGGGGAAAGCAGGAAGCCCTGCACCACCCTGGGGAAGAGCACTGGCATCATCCCCCAAGACTGTCTCAGGTCTCTGGGGGCACTGATGGGGCTCTACTGAGTCTAACCGTTCTGAATTTAAATGCTTTTATTCCTCTGGTGCATCCTGAAGCTCACGGTGTCTTTTCTCAAGTGACTGAATGAATGTACCTTGATTGTGTGTTAGGTGAATTTCCAGTTATTTATTTAGAGCATTTATTTTTTTGTCCTCTTATTTAAAAAAATGTCTTATGTCCTTGGGTTGAGCCTTTTGATGGAGGAATGAGAGGATTTCTGCTCCTCCTATACTCCTTATAGGTTGTATATCAAGAAACACCCCTGAGGACTGTTGGGCCCAGATACTTTTCAGGAAAACGGAATTTGATGAACCAAATCCAAGGTGACAAGGATGTACAAACAGAACCCAACAAAGATTACATGGTTTAAGCTTAAATCAAGACCCCAAAATAAAAGGCAGTGTGTGATAGGACCCACATAGTTGCCAGAATTGTTTAAATGGTCCTCTCTTGCCAGGCTGAGAATACAGAGGCTGGCCAGAGATAACACTGAGAAGTCAGGAGTCTCTCCAGTTGTGGGGTGGAATTTGCAATAGTAGCCTGGGCCAGGGTCCACAGAATTGCATGCATGCTCCACCAGGTCATTTTAGCACACGATGTTTTCTAACTTTGTGAACCCAAACAAAGAGAAGATGCCATTATCAACCTGATTGCCTAGTTGAACCTTCTTCTCTATCGTACAATTGGGTGTTATCCTTACAGGTAAGGCAGGAAACTGTGTGATGGAAGGTAGAGCAGGAAGTCGAGCATGCACCTTCCTGATAAATGGGTTGGGGGCCTAACTGTATGGGTGAGGTGCCTGGGTGGGCTTTCTTCAATCATGAGCATTTTCATTGATGTCCTCAATAGAAATACGTAAGTAGGGTTCTCAAATTTGCAGATGAAACAAAGCCAGGATAGAAAGGCAATTCTATAGATGATGGAATAAAAGCCCCAAGAGAGCCTAGGCTCCAACCAAGCATGGAATGTAACGGAGATGGACATCAAGTCTTATGTTTAGATCCAGGAAATCAGTTCCATCATCTCCACATCACTGGAGGAGGCCTGCCTTTAACTCCCTTCCTGAGTTTCCAACTCTGGACATCTTCCTGTTTGCTCATAAAGGTTCCTCAGGTCTGCAGACCTTCCCCATGTATCCTTTCCTCTCTGAAGTGGTTTCTGGAGCCTTACAGGAATGACCCATCAGACCCCATGCTGTGCCCTCTTATCAATACCTTCCAGACCGGGGGATCCACTTGGGGGACAGAGTGGGAACTATCGTTCCCAGCACCACCAATAGGATGGGAAACCCCACAGACTGGAGCTTTGGGGTAGGCTCTGCCGCTAAACAGGTGGTGGCCACCTCATGCTGACAGCTGCTAGCTGTGGAATGCGCCTTCGAGGCTGCCTCGCCCCTGCTCCTCGTGACCTCCTGCACCCAGACTGCCCCTTCTCCAGTCCCGGAACCCTGGGGTCTTCAGGGCTTTGCTCTTTGCCATCTCTGATTTGTTTGTTTCTTTAGCTTTGTCACAGCTAAAGATTTTTTTAAAGGAGTATATATATATATATATTTCATACAGGGAAATGTAAAGTTGGTAAGTGAGAGAGAAGCCTTATTGTTTCAAAGGGTTAGTTTTTTACTTCTTTGCATATTTATGCCCTGTGGCTTCTATGCCCAGCATTTGTCTTGAGGTAAAAGATTATATTTTTTAAAGGGTAGTTTAAATATTCTCTGATCATTCTTTTTCTTTATTTATATTATTTTTTCTCCCAATTCAACATGTATATATATG